TCTGCTTGTAACTTTTTTTAATTTACATTATATTGAAAATGGTTTTAATCTTTTTAAAAGGAATGTAGTAAAATATTTTTACGCTAGCAATTTTAAAAAGATTCAATAATTTTAAGAATTTTAAAATCAATTAAATTTTTTCTGCCTTAGTCGTAAGTTCTTTTGTAAAACGGGCCCCAGAACACTTGACTGTATGGTCCAGAAGTTCAAAATTCTTGTAAAAATTACCCCCGCATATTAAATTTTTTTCTCTGTTTGTCTCGAATATGCCCAGAAGCATAGAAGATTTTCAAAGAAATGTATTTTCACTATATTATTAAAGAAAGCCCCACACTTATACCCCAACCCAGGGGCTATGAATTCACAGTTCTGGAAGGAAGAAGCACCCTTGCTCATCATAACTATACACTTGTTTCTTTGCTTTATAACCAGAAGTGAAAAAAATATTTTGAAAGAAATTATGCATTTTCACTATATAACCAATAGAGTCCTCCACCCACCTTCACCAGAACCCCTAAACCTGGGGCCATGAATTTCACAATTTTGGAAGAGGCATTCTTCCCTATCATAACAATGCACTTCCTTTGTTTGAATAACATCCAGGAGCAGAGAAGAAGATTTTGAAAGAATTTATGCATTTTCCCTGTATAATCAATAGAGTTCCGCCCTAACACCAGAACCCCTGACCCTGGGACCATGAAATTCATAATTTTTGAGGAGGCAGTCATGCTCTTTATAACTATGTGCTTAGTTACTTTATTTTATATCCAGGAGCAGAGAAGAAGATTTTCAAAGAATTAATGCATTTTCACAATATAATCAATAAAGCCCCGCCCTAACACCAGAACCCCTAACGCCGGGGCCATAAAATCCATAATTTCGGAAGGGGCACTCTGGCTCATCATAACTGTATGTACTTAGTTACTTTATTTAATACCCAGGAGCAGGGAAGAAGATTTTCAAAGAAATAATGCACTTTCACTATATGATCTATATAGCCCCACTTTAGCACCACAACCCCTGATCCTGGGGCCATGAATTTCACAATTTTGGTAAAGGGCTCAATGCTCATTACAATCATGCCAACAGTTTGACTGCTTGATGTCCAGGAGTAAGGAAGAAGATTTTTGAAGATTGCATTAATTTTGGTGGTTATAGCCCCACCCCTCAGGCCCCAGGGAGGCAGAGACCATGAAATTCACAATTTGTGTTCTCCTTTACCCATATATGGTATAAGCCAAATTTAGTCGAAATTGGTTAAGCGGTTTCAGAGAAAAAGCTAAAAATGTTCAACTGTTAACACACGACGCCGGACGAAAACGGATAGCAATAGGTCACCTGAGTGACTCAGGTGACCTAGAAAAAAAAATCAAATTAAAATGTTACTGAACAACTGCATGTAGAATGATTGCAATTATTTCATCACAGTGTAAGTATGAGTGAATTTCAACAATATATTGTTAATGAACCAAAAAAGATAGTTTACAAATTTTACTTCAATTTTGAACAGCTTGCATTTCATGAATAGCTTGTATTGTTGTCAATCATTGTATGCAAAGACAAGCCCTTTTGTAATCAGCATTGTCTAGCACATGTCCGTCACAGAGGTTAGGAAAAAGAAGGAATTGTAATGCAAAAGAAAATTATTTGAAAAAGAGAATTACTTTTTATAAATATTGCAATTATCGTCAACTTTTTGAGGATTCTTTACGCTTAAGGAATGCCAAAAAATATTTAAGCAGATTCATAGTTAAAATGTGAAACCTGTAAGATTAAGTGCAGGTAATTTTTATGAGAAAACAAAATTAAAATATTTCCTTATCTTCTAGTGTACATGTATAATGAACATTGTGTTGGATTTCAAAATGTTGAATTTTGTATTTAACTGTACTATGTTTAATCAAATGTTACATTTTTTATCTCAGTTCATTAATATTCAATAATTTGTTTACTGGTAACCATATTTTTTTGGTTTCGGAATTTTGTTTTTCGGAATTCCAAATTTTGAATTATTGTTTTATGTCAGGTTATTTTTTGCAAGTATGTAATTAATTATTGTAATATTAAAGAAGTTAGGAAAAATGGTTTTGAATTTGTATGAGAGGTCAAGAGGTCTTCCATAGCACCTGACTCCACCTCTGGTGTTTTCGAGGATTCGTGTATGCCCTACTTTTTAATTGTAATTTTCAGTTAGATTTTTAAGCTTGGGTATTGTCTGTTATCTTCACCTCTCATTTAATGAGAAGAAATAATAACAATGTGTACACAAAATCTTTAACGAGATTTTAATCGCGGCGAATGAATAACGTTGGAAAAAGAGCATCATTAATTTGGAATACACTTTTATTTTTCTTACAATTACAGAGTATTAAAAGTAAAAAAAAATTGAGTACGCAATGGGTACTAAAATCACTATAGGATATAAATGAATGTTTTGAACCCAATGCTTTAAATGGGTCTAGATTTATTTGAAAAAGGAAATGAAAGTAGCCTTGTAGCCTTCATGTATATATGTCCTAAAAATAATTCTCCTGATGTGCAAATGATACAAAAACAGTATTCTTTTTTAAATATGATTACAGAATGTTTCTTACAAATATCACAAATTCTTACAAGTATCACTAAAACAAATTGATAGAGTGATGAATTCAAAGCCAGTATGCGCAGTACATTAAAAGATATACACGTGATATTTAGGTCAATTTAAAATGGAAGATTATTGAATTATGTACGGTAGATCCGAGGAATTATCGCGTAATTTCGCAAGAAGCACCAATCGCGAAATAAAATTACTCGCTTTTATTTTATTGTGGTGAAATCTATTCAAAATCTCTAGATCAACCGTACACTCGCCAATAATTGTTCTCGCGATTTGACGTCTTAGGGCCATTTCGCGATATTAGATACTCGCGTAAAATAAAGAACCCACAGTATTATCTACATATTAAACGGATTTCAAGAAATAGCATTGCGACAAATTTAATCTGACTTCTGTATTATGAAGAAGAATTTTGCTACAAATTCAAATAATGCTAATTTAAAACAAAAATCAGTGAAAGTGCATCAACGAAGTTGTGAAAGTGTCGTATCAATAATCAGTTGCCTCTAAGGACAATAATAAATACAAAAAATAGAATATCCTCCTAAAATAAAAAAAAAAATATGATAAAACTGTTACTCCTTTTCACAAATAAAAGTATTATTGGCCTTACATCCACTGTCATTCCAGAGTCCATTTCGACACAACGAGACACAATGCTCATTACCCCAACTGTTACTTGGCTCGGAAGGGTACCAGGTTGAAAACGTGATGTTTGTATGGCGATTCCAAGTAAAAACCCCTTCGCTATCCATGTCTGTTGCCCCAATCCAGCATTTACAGCATGTATGCCATGGAGAACAATCGACTAAAAAAAACAACATATGACGACATGACAACAACGCTCAACCGATTCGAAATTCTTTTATGAATAATCAAGGTAGAGATACGTAGTATCTGTAGTAACTGTAGTAAGTACATCATATATATTCTATTAAAGTATAGATTACTTTACCTATTTGAAGCCTTGTTGTTTTATTTAAAAAAAATTAGAGCATGTGTCATGGCACTGCTAATGTGCCAAGGGAACCATATGTGAACGTTTCAATTTAAAATACATGGAAATCAAAATGATTTAAACCCAAGCCATATTTAAAAAAAAAAAATTCTTGCCTACTCTCGACTAAGGATAAAAAAATTATTGGTAGGTGGGGGGCATTTTTTTTTTTTATTAAAAAACACTTTCGAATGTTATAATAGTTATAAATGGATGAAAAAACTTCGAAATTTTTTTTAAAAATTATTGTTTTCTGGAGATTAAAAAAAATGAGTCGGAGCGGTTCTAGTCAGTCGGTCGGGAGATGCCAAAGAAACATTTTTTTTTTTAAGTTTAATTTTATACAAGGATATTTTAAAAACTATTTTAGAGTAATATTCTATTATTGCAGCCGGGAGGACCGGGCTGCTCTATACATATAAGTTTAAGTGTTGGTATATGGGGATTGAGGTGGGAGAAGTTATTCAGAATTAAAGGTTTTCTAAACATTAAAAAGATTGTTAATCAGAATGTTCTTTCCCTTTATAAATTACGAGATACACAATATATTTACTTCCATAAAGTGAATCTGTGAAAATATATATGTTTTTCATATTTAATATATAAAGTTGCTTATCATTTACTATCGGAAAAACGACAGGTCCCTTTTTTTAGAACATCGAATTTTACTTATCGCATAAAAACGTAAAAATGTACTTTACACAGTTCGTGTTTTATATTCTTAAAGTGAAAGATATTTTTGAAAATAGGTGATGCATGTGTCTGGTTTCAAATTATATTTTATGCAGCCAACATTTACTTGAGGAATTGATAAAGTTTAAAAGGGTATCGTTTTTGTTCGATTTTCATCCGACTATAAGTTTTCAAAATATTCACGACTATCGTCTCCATCATTTAGACGCATGCCTTTTTCACACATATCGAAGCGGTTTGATGATAAAGACTCATTTCCATTGTTTACTTTATTTATTTCCCGGGCGACAATTGATGGTTACATCAATGTTTTCTTGTTGTTATTTGATTACCTTATCCTTGTTATGGTTTTAAGAAACTTGTTCCCACACCTCATGGGGATATTTGCATATAATTTCGATATTTTTCCATTCTTACTTGTCTTTAAGTGAAGATTCTTAGGATGCAGTTTTGTTGTTTTAGGCATATTTATTCGACTGCGTGCACTTTGTCATTAGGACAAACGCATGCACAATTTCCTTAATTGTTTATTTAAGAACTTGTAGTCTTGTGGGGTTTTTTAACTAACATTTAAAAAATGTGAATTTAAGTATTTCTTAGTAAAATTGTACATCACATAAAGCACCTTCGGAACAACTTTGACAATGAGTGAACAAAATTAGAATTTGGACGCTATTGGCCCCTGGGTCTCCAGATTAATTCGAAAACGGGTAAAAATAGCAAATAGTTTTATAAAGATGAACAGGTTTAATCATTGAATAAGAAAAGCTCATAAAGTTGAAATATATTATAAGTGACATTACATTGAACTCTGAAGTAAATAGCGGCTAAACTTGTTTGTCATCAATAGAACGAAAAGAGATTTTTTTAAATGAAAGTATAGACTGACGACCCAATTGTTACCCTCAGAATATTTTTTGATGTAAAATTATGATATATTTGATAACAATACAATAACAATTGATATATTAATAATTATCTTTGTCAGATAAGTTCACATTTCAAATACTTAGGTTATCCCAAAAAAGTACACATTTGACAAAATAGTTCAGATGAATATTTAAACTACTGTAACCTATTGTACTTCTTCAAAGTATCTTACCATCACTCCAGGGAGGAAGAAAAGCTTCCATGAGCCATGTATTTTCTGCAGGTGTGGCTATCTCAACAAGAGGGGCTCCATATTGTTCGCATTCTTCCTATGATAATAAAAAATGCATCTTTTCTTATATTTGATTAGAAAAATGCTTTGTTGTCAAGGAGAAGAATCATTCGAAATAAACGTAGTTATAAAATGAATATTTCAAGAGAGAATTACAAATTAATGGCATTGAGACAGTGCATATCCTTAACAATCTCAGTAATCCAAGTACAAAGGCTACAGTTTTCGATCTTTTTGAAAGGAACACAATTCAAGAATAAATAAATAAATAAAATAAATAAATAAGAGAAGAAATAAATAAAATTTTAGAAATCTACATCTGTATTTCAATACATATTCCTATTGATTTTATTTATTTATTTATTTTATTTTACTATTTTTTAATTATTATTTTATTTATTTTTTTCTTTATGTATATTTTCTCAAAATTTATAGAAAGCATATAATTTCTTTCTTATGTAATTGACACTTTTTGATAAATTAAAAAAGAAAAAGAAATCCCAGTTCTTACGTACACCACGCTCAACATGCAAAAGATTATCCGAATCACAAGATACACATCTTCCTCAAATATTACTGAAATACGTCTTTCACGTGTTAAATATCTCACAGACACTTAAACAAATAGCCATATATACAGACGGATAGCAAAAAATACAGATGGGTATCTAGACGTATAGAAAGACAGGGATAGGCAGGCAGAGAATTTGTTAGATACCTAGACAGATCGACGAATAGCTAGGCAACGAGACGGATAGCTAGACAGACGAACAGATAGCTAAACAGACGAACAGATAGCAAAAAAGACAAACACATAGCTAGGCATGTGGACGGATAGCTAGATAGACAGATGGATGGCTTAAAAGACAGACGAATAGATAGAAAAATAGAAAGGCAGATGTTCAGAAAGAAAGACGAATAGATAGAGTTACACATGATAGATACATACTAGACAGACGACATACGGATAAAACCTCATCGTTAGATATTATAAAGAATAACAAACCTAACTATATGTATATTTTTTACAATGCACATCTTATTTTTCGCATTTCATTTTTCTTTTTATACCCAAATTCAATGGGCCACTTCAAACTGGAAAAGGATTTTTTTTTTAAGTTTTGGGAATTGGATTTTTTTTTCTTTATTTAGTAATGACCCGTCGTAGGTCTTAAATATATCTTAAGATATGCCTTATTTATCACAAGAAACTACAGAATAAATAAATACAATAGGGAAAGAAATGAAAAGCTTCTCGACTCTGAGAGAATACCGATAATCTTGGAGAGCTATCAATTCACTTCTTTCAAAGGTTTATAAATATTTTACCTTGGAATCGTTCCAGGTTTTCTTAGTCTTGCTCGGAAAATAGCATCGGCCTTCAAAAGGTTCCCAGCCAATGGGGCAAACTGAAAAGAAAATGAATTCTAAACTGGTCTCGCAAGTGACAGAAAACGTTCTTTAACCCTCATTTACTCAGCTGTTTAGTCTGCATTTATTTCTTTTTTTAATTTAGTTTCCCTGCTACATGCAACACTTCGGATGAAAAGATTTTTGCCTAAACGCTGACTGATATTAATATTTGTATAATCGGCACGATAGATCAGACAGTAGAGAGCTTGCTCCGTTGTTGGAAGGCCATTGGATTTAATCCCGGTCGCGAAAAAATCTAATTTGATAAAAATAGTAATTGTTTCCTCGCAGAGCTCTCACCATTTCTGAAGCGAAAATTGCGTTCTTTGAGACCTTAAAAGCTGAGTTCAGTTCCTTTGAGTAAAAAAATTTCAAATTAAATTAATAAAGAGACAAGTTAGTAACTTATTTGTATTTCTGTACCTATATTCCCATCCTACTTTCGTTGTTTGCTTCCTTTGAGTAAAATATTTTCAACTTAAATTATAAAGAGACAAGTTAGTAACTTACTTGTATTTTTGGACCAAAATTCCCATCCAACTTCAACACGTGTCCTGTTAACAGATCTTTGATTTAGATGACACTTTAGGAGTTTACAAGAAAATAGTTTGTCGTTGTACAGAATTCCGGCACATCCTAATTTTAGCAGAAGACATTGTAACGCACATTCTGTTCGATGAACATTTTCAAAAAACTTTATATAATACCAAGTGTGTGATGGCAAAAGGTTGTCAAATAAAAAGTTCCTTGTCAACTGTCCTTCATGATTTATGGAACTGCAGAAATCTCTGAAGACACTCAGGAGAAAACATACAAGAACGATATACTTAATCATTGTTTTCTCCAATAATGCCTCGTAGAGGTTTTTAGTCTACTTTCAAGTACGGCGAATTTAAAGTATGTAACAGAAAAATCACACACCAGTTATGATACTTGCAATGTACGCAAAGAGCTCGCTCATAAAAATAATGGTCCCTTTGCAATTATATGAAAGCACCTAACATCCACAACGTTAAAAAAATGGTCTTCACAGATGCACGAAAAAAGGGTTATTATTAATGCATACACCTATTCATAAAAAAACAATTCAAATGCACACCATTTCTTTCTACCTTACCTAGTTGGAGCGACGAATCACATGATTATCACTGACTTCCGAATATTCATGTAAGAACATGTTAATTTTACAAATTTTGCAATATCTAATACAATATATATATATATATATATATATATATATATATATATATATATATATATATATATATATATATATATATATATATATATATATATATATATATATATATATATCTGAGGCGTCAACAAGTTCGGTAAAGTGTCCAATTTCAGCAGGCCAATAGCGTACATAAATAGCTGTTTCTTTAGGCCAAATTTTATCATGGTCTTCCTAAAGATCCTTATTGTAAAACCTTCTATAAACTTCTCAAAGCTAAAATTAAACAGTCTTTATAAAACAAACTTTAAAGTAAAGACCTAGCAGGTGAAAGGTGTCTACATTTTTGTGAAATTTAAGATATGTATATTTCTCTAATTATGCTTTATAACTAAAGATTGGTCAGATAAATTGTTACAGGGCATAATTTTAGGTAAAAACAATGAACACATTCAGGTTTTTCACTTTCATTTTCAATGAAAAATGAAGAAAAACCAAAAAAAAAAAAAAAAGATAAACTGGTCTTTTCCCTTTTTTTTAAGAGATGAAAAGTACCAAGACACCTTTTTTTAACCAGGTCATCATAATAATAAATATATTTTGATAATTATATGATTCCCCTCTGCAACTAGGTGAGGTATAAAGTAATGGTGTCGTGCATTTGAATTCAAAAGAATAATTCGTCAAACACGTACTAATATACATATAGGCAATTATTAATGCATACATGTATTCATCGTAACCAATGCAAATGCAAAGGAGGAGTAAACATTCCTTGTCAACCGGTCACACCCACCGTGAGCCCCCTGCATTGATTAGGTCAAAATGTCCGTCAAAATGATATACAATGGCCTTACAATAGGTGGAAATTATGTCAGTAAAAATAGGCCCCAGATAGGTTGCATGCATTTGAAAACAAGGTTTTTATAACGATCAGAATTTGCAAAATGCTGACTTTAAACGAGATAGTTGAAAGCCCTTTAGTAACAACTTATTCGTCAGTAGACTATCTCTGTCAAAAATTGATCGTACTCAGAACATGCCCTTGAGTCTCGAATCAATTGGGAGATATAAAAACCAAGTGCTAGTAATTGTGGAATATTATTACATTAAAAAGGAAAGTGACGATGGAAAAGCTCAAGTATACGCCTTTACTGTACCAAATGTATCAAGGAACAAATTTCCTCTTGTCTTTAAAATAATCAAATCGTTGAATGTTATACTTAATATCGATCGATTGCACACGCTTAATCGCAAAAAACCATAATATTTGTACTTTTCTCGTCGTAATTCACTTCCCAAATAAAGACTGCTTGAATATGTTTTTGTTTTTTTTTAATTCAAATCTAGACTTACTAGTACTATTGAGATTTTACTAGTATTACATAAGTTATAGTGCTTTATTATTCAAGAGTTCTTTTTTTTTCTTTTTTTCCCCCAAAATATTACATGTAAACGTAGTATTCAATAAAAAAAAAAAATCAATCTCAATAAAATCAGTTAAGAACAATCTATTGATTATTTTCTGAAAAACAGTAGACAGCTATTCAGAAAAATAGTCAAATCCTAGTAGTCACTGTTACCAAATACGTGTACATTGTACATGTACATGTATGCAGTTGTTAACTAGATCACTGCTTACTGACAACTTATTCACAGTCAAGTAGACGTTTTTGTATGGCAGAAAAGTAGTCAAATTCTAGCAGTTACAGTAACCAAGTACATATATTCAGTTTTCAACTAGTTGACAGCTTGGTAACAACTTAAATTATTGACGACCAAGTGAACATATAAGTGTGGGGTTAGTAGAAGAAATATGAACAGAAAGTGTTATATCATGGTCATGACTTTTTTAGTGATGTTCTTTTGAATTTCAAGTTTATCTTCAGTTACGAGGGATGTTCGGAAATTATTGTGACAATGTGTATATTCTTTTTCCTAATGAACGTCTTTCGGTGAAAATTTGCATATACGTTTGACAAATAATAAAAATTAATAAAAGCAAAAAATATTTTACAAATATTTTATTTCTTCTTCTCAGTGGTACATGTATATGTATGTGTCAATGGTAGAGGTACCCGGCGCAGTCACGAAATCAGATGTTGAAAATATGTTACACCAACGTTCAAACTCCCGGTGGACTCATAGTAAGATAATTTATATATATACAATTTTTCAATTTAAGTTTGACTTCATTTTGTGCAAGTTTGTTAGAATTTCGATCAGAAATACGGAGATTATTAATGAATTTAAGCGCGGCTTAGAAATCTTTGAACGACGACAAAATGGAACTTGACGTCAAGGCGGCGCAAGGAGCATACCTATAATTTTGTGTAGCGCTATGGAGAACTCTTTTCCAGACTAAACGACCTGCTAAAACAATAACAATGCAAAATGTGTCTAAGGGTATTATTTTTTCATTGGTATATATTTTATTCTTACAAAATATTCAACAAGAGTAAAAACAAGAGCTCCAGACGACGATCAATTATTACATGTACGGAGTAAATAACGTTGACCCGCTGTGCAAAAATTGGTACTGCGTGATGCTAATTCAACCTGTATATGACACTTCGTGAATTTTTTACACTGAGGTACCAACAGCACACATCTTTTTGATTTTATCTTTTAAAGAATTGTTTAAGAAAAGAAACAGTTTGATTTTTGGAATGTTATAGGTGATAACAGAGAAAGAAGAGTAAACGCTTCCCGATCGTTTCACTTGCAAAAACATCTTTGGCTGATTGACGTTAAAATGACGTAGCGATGCCGCTCCAGGTCGATAGACATATGCATGTTTATAATTTCACCGGAACTTGTCTAATTATCCCATAAATTAGAAATTTTGCACATTTCTTTTATTCTTCATATACAAAATGTTGACGAAGTTTCATGAATTTATCTCTGGCCTTCATGGAGTAAATTTCTCAATAATTTCCGAACAGCCCTCGTACGGTTAGTTGATGGCATGAAATACCTCTTTCTTTGTAAAGTTTTAAATATTAAATTACTTTTTTCCGATAATGATTTATTTCTCTATTTATTTCATTTTATTTTATTTATTTATTTATTCTACTTTATTTATTTTTATTTTTTTTTATATTATTAGGTCTTTCCACCTTTCTGTGGAAAGACCTATTGAAATTGTTCTGTTTATTATTATTATTATTAGGTCTTTCCACCTTTCTGTGGAAAGACCTATTGAAATGCTTATGTTTATTATTATTATTATTATTTTTCCGTTACCGCCTTTTGAACCGAAAGACTTTTCGAAGAACTTTATAGTTCATGATACTCGACATCAAAAGTTATTTCGAAAAACTACCCAACGAGTATGACCTATGACCCCTTTCGGAGTTCTTGCCCTTTAAACGAAAAACCTTGTTATCGCTACTCCTTCGAAATCATAAACCGCAGAGGTACGAAACCTTAACCAATGTCTTCGACTAACTGAGTACTCGCTTCAAGGTTTCACTGCGAAAGAATTCGTCAACCCCTTTTATGAGTTATTGCCCCTGGACGTTTCTCATGTTTACGAATAATGAAAAACTTTTCTAAACGACAAGTCGTAAAGACATGGGACCAACTGCATAAGATTCTTTGACCTTAGACCTTGAACTTAAGGTCAAGGTCAAAGGTCAAGGTCATTCAAAATATAAGAAAATTAGCTCTTTTTATAGCTCTTTTGTCTTTCAACATATACTACATATCTTTGCATATTTAATATGTCCTTCTAAAAGTATTATAAAAATTTCATTCTTGTCCCCCAAGCTTGACCCATTCAAAAGTTGTCATCCCTTTTGCAATAAAACCTTGTTATCGCTACTCCTCCGAAACCGTAAACCGTAGACATTCCAAACCTTCATCAGTGTCTTCGACTCATTTAGTACACTCTTCAATCTATACAGTGCGAAAGGGTTCTTCGGCCCCTTCTATGAGTAACTATCCCTGAAAGTTTTTGCTGCTTACATTTAATGAACTTTTTTTTTTAAAACGGTGTATCCTAGAGACATGGGACCAACTACATCGGCATATTTGACCTTTGACCTTGAAATATAGGTCAAGGTCAAAGGTCAAGGTCATTTAAAAACATAAGAAATTCCTTATATATGTGTACAATATAGCAATTCACCAAATGACCTTGAACTTTGACCTTGACCTTTGACCTTGACCTTGGGTCAAATGGAAAAGTAAGGACATGCATCCAGCTCCAGTATCAGGAAAAACATAGAAAGTAAAGATTTCTTGTTTTTTTTTTTGTTTTTTGTTTTTTTTTTGGTAATGACCTTGACCTTTGACCCTTGACCCAAAGGTCACAATCAGGCTTAAGGATGTGGAAGTAGTTACAATTCTTAGTTTAAAAGAGGCATAAAATAAATAATTCATCCCCCCTCCTTCTTAAAAAAAAAAAATCACATCAACAACAACTTAGAATATTACTCTAGAATTCAAACCAGAC